CCCCCGTCCCGCCTCCTCATGCTGCTCCCGGGTCCACGGCTCAGGGTCCCTGTACGGGCCTCCTTTGCTGTGTCCCCATCCCCCACCTCTGCCTGTGCCACTCACATGCTGGTGTGTTCCAATTTTGTCATAGGGTGCAGGCATATTACGGGCCTGCCCACTCCCAATGCTAGCTGCCAGACACCTAATCAGCCCATGGGCCACCGTACACGCCTCCTCATTGCTGCTGCCAGGTCCAGAGTCTCTCATGGGTCCCTGTACGGCATCCATTGCTGCAGTCTCCATCGCCACACTCTGGCCATGTGCCAATTACAGGTCTACTCACACTGATGGTGTGTTCCATTTTGTCATAGGGTGCTGGCAGATTACGGGCTCCCATTGCTGCTGCCAGGCCTGTAATCTGCCATGGGCCCCTGTACCGCCTTCCTCATGCTGCTGCCAGGTCCAGAGTGTCTCATGGGTCCCTGTACGGCCTCCCATTGCTGCTGTCTTCATCGCCACAACTCTGCCATGTGCCACTTTCAGGTCTCCTCACACTGCTGGTGTGTTCCATTTTGTCATAGGGGTGCTGGCAGATTACGGGCCTCCCATTGCTGCTGCCAGGTCCGTAATCTGCCATGGGCCCCCGTACCGCCTCCTCATGCTGCTGCCAGGTCCAGAGTCTCTCATGGGTCCCTGTACGGCCTCCCATTGCTGCTGTCTCCATCGCCACACTCTGCCATGTGCCACTTTCAGGTCTCCTCACACTGCTGGTGTGTTCCATTTTTTCATAGGGTGCTGGCAGATTACGGGCCTCCCATTGCTGCTGCCAGGCCCGTAATCTGCCATGGGCCCCGTACCGACTCCTCATGCTGTGACTTTGCAACAAGGTGGAATTCAACCCTACATATGTTAGACCACCTTTACGAACAGCGAAAGGCCATCACCGATTTCCTGATGTTACAAGCGGATTAAAGGTACTCCCCTGTGTAACTTAGATGTCAGCATTGGCAGCTCATGCGTGACACTGCCGCTTGCTCAGGCCCTTTGAGGAGGCCACGCTATTCGTGAGTCGGCAGGACTATGGGATGAACGACGTCATTCCTCTGTTGCACGTCCTGGAACAAATGCTGTTAACAATGGCTGGTCAGGGTGCGGTAGACGTGGCGCACAGATCTCAACGCCACATGACCCCTGTGGAGGCAGGACAGGAAGAAGAGGAGAAGGTAGAGGAGGACATTGGTGCTCAGGAATTATTGAGTGAAATGGGTGGTTTTTCCAACTCAGCGGACAGGAGTGGAGGAGCAGGAGCATCTGGTAGAGGAGGAGGAGACAGAGGACCCAGACGCACCGTGAGTATGGCAGTATGCTGTGGTGGTGGAGCAGAGGAGTCCCTCGCATTCCTTGGCACAAAATGGCCCATAGCATGCTCGGTTGCTTGCGTTAGCGACAGCTGAATAATAACCATAAGACAGAGGGATGACTTTTGGCTGTCCACCTTGTTGGACCCTCGCTACCGTTCAAAATGGTGGCCTTTTTCACACTGCTGAGAGGGAGGCCAAAATAAAGTACTATAAAAACCACCTATGTAGTCAGTTGGTCTCTCCCTTTCTGCGCCAACGTCCCATCCTCAGACACTGTGGACCCTGTGTGCTCGCGTTCCGCTGCCATGGCAGCAGGGGAGGGGTGGGGTGGTAGGAGCAGTGGCAGCTCCACCAGCAGCGGCTGCCACAGTCTGCAGTCGATGATGAGTAGCTTTCTTCACCAGCGCAGTGAGGAAAAAAACTACTAACCAGCCGCAGCAGCAGCATCAGGTGGACCTGGAGCAGGACCTCAAACAAACAGGCTTGGGCCTACTTGGGACAGCACCTTGCCAACCGAGGTAGACAATCCCCTTGACTACTGGGCAACGAAACTTGACCTTTGGCCCCAACTAGCTGAATTTGCCCTTGAAAGGGCTGTCATGCCCGGCCAGTAGCGTGGCATCGGAGCGCGTGTTTAGTGCGGCTAGGAGGTATTGTAACTCCGCGGAGGACAGGACTGTCCACCCAAAGTGTGGAGAGACTCACGTTTGTGAAAATGAATCAGGAATCAGGCGCGTGGATTAGTCTGGATTTCAAACCACCAGTTCCTGACACATCTGACTAAATCCGCCATGAATCATGCCCCAAACATGTGCCACTTTCAGGTCTCCTCACACTGCTGGTGGGTTCCATTTTGTCATAGGGTGCTGGCAGATTACGGGCCTCCCATTGCTGCTGCCAGGCCCGTAATCTGCCATGGGCCCCTTGTACCGCCTCTCATGCTTCTGCCAGGCCCGTAATCTGTCATGGGTCCCTGTACGGCCTCCCATTGCTGCTGTCTCCATCGCCACACTCTGCCATGTGCCACTTTCAGGTCTCCTCACACTGCTGGTGTGTTCCATTTTGTCATAGGGTGCTGGCAGATTACGGGCCTCTCCCATTGCTGCTGTCAGGCTGTAATCTGCCATGGGCCCCTGTACCGCCTCCTCATGCTGCTGCCAGGTCCAGAGTGTGTCATGGGTCCCTGTACGGCCTCCATTGCTGCTGTCTCCATCGCCACACTCTGCCATGTGCCACTTTCAGGTCTCCTCACACTGTTGGTGGGTTCCATTTTTGTCATAGGGTGCTGTATGGCCTCCCATTGCTGCTGCCTCCACCGCCACACTGTGGCTCCACACTCTGGTTTTGGCCCCGTGACTGCCCAAATGAGTGAAGTGTGCGGTGATTCTAAGATCGACGGCACTCATCTGCATGTCATACTGACTGACAGTATTATTTCTCTTCCCCAGCAGACTCCAAGGGCATTTAAATTAAAGGTACAGTGTTCTGCACTAATATAAAGGCTCTCTGAAGCCTAGAAACACCCTTTTATAAGTTAAATTCGCAGCGAATATATTCGCCTCGAATCGAATTTATTCCTCGAATTCGCCGAATCAGCCGAATCGAATTTTTGAATACTTCGCTCATCTCTAGTTATTTTTATAATTCTTCATTTTTATTTAGCTATTAATATTTATTGTAATTTTGTGACTAGTGGCCTGGAGACCTTGGGAAAAGGCTTACAGGTAACCATGAGGGGATGATAATACAGTGACACTCTTTAAACAGTGGAGGAGGAGAAAGAAAGCTTGCTTGGTGATTCCTGCAATTGTTATCTTAAGGCATTTTTCTTTTTATCTCTGGTTTTCATGGAAGCCACTGGAGGGATTCAACACCTATAAGAAATTCCATGTATAATACATTCATCTATCTTTCATCATTGCTTTGGACTGTTGAGACACTGGACATTATAGTTTGAGTGATTATATGATTTATGAGTATTGGTGGTTGGACACTTTATTAATTAATATTATTTTGAGGGGTGTGGGCTGTATGTTGATTTGGGTTGGGTGGGTTTGTTTAGTGAGAGGGTTATTCGATTCTCTTTAGAATTGTTTGTTGATTAGTGTACTTTCAAGGGTTGAAAGTTTTTCTATTTTGAATCTAGATATTGGTTGGGCTGTTCTGAATTTATACCGTATTCACGCTAATATTTATAGTACAGGAGATGACCAGAGTCTGCGGACATAGTACAGGAGATGACCAGAGACTGCGGACATTAGTACAGGAGATGACCAGAGACTACGGATATAGTACAAGAGATGACCAGAGTCTGCGGACATAGTACAGGAGATGACCAGAAGTCTGCGGACATAGTGCAGGAGATGACCAGAGGCTACGGTTACATAGTGCAGGAGATGACCAGAGACTACGGTCATAGTGCAGGAGATGACCAGAGACTACGGTCATAGTGCAGGAGATGACCAGAGGCTGCGGACATAGTACAAGAGATGACCAGAGGCTGCGGACATAGTACAGGAGATGACCAGAGGCTGCGGACATAGTACAGGAGATGACCAGAGGCTGCGGACATAGTACAGGAGATGACCAGAGGCTGCGGACATAGTACAGGAGATGACCAGAGGCTGCGGACATAGTACAGGAGATGACCAGAGGCTGCGGACATAATACAGGAGATGCGGACATAAGAGACTGCAGACCCCCTTGGGGAGCGGAGGGGGGAGCAGGTACCCGAATTTGACAGGTACCTGCTCCCACTTCCGCAGAGTTGTCCTCCCCGTAGTCTTGTGGGACACGTGACAGGTCCCAGAAGACTAAAGGTGGCCATTCACAAAGCGCAGTGCTTCTGGTGCATTGCGCAGTGGGTACCTGGCTGGGAAGCAGCAAGCTGTCACAGCTGGGTGCCCACACTGAAGATGCCGGCCGGTGAAAGCAGGACACCGCTGGACTGAGGAACAGGTAGGACCAAGGAGCAGGTTCTTCTGCAGAGTAGAGCTGAGCGGCTGGCCCAGTATTCTAACACGGTGACGGCGGAAATACTGGTCTGGCCGCTCCATAAAACGCACAGACATTTTCTCTCCCATTTTTTGGAGGGAAAAAAGTGCATTTTATGGAGTGAAAAATGCGGTATATACTAGTTACATACTAATATTTAAAGGTAAAGTTGATCCAGGGAATATCCGATCGCCTCGAAGGATCAGGCAGGAATTTTTGCTGGAGGAAATTGGATCATGCTTTGTTTTTTTTTGCCTTCCTCTGAATCAATTGTGGGTATAGGATTGTGTGTATACAGTGCACCCAGAAAGTATTCACAGCACTTAACTTTTGCCACATTTTCTTATGTTACAGTCTTATTCCAAAATGGATTTAATTCATTTTTTTCCTTAACATTCTACAAACAATACCCCATAATGACAACGTGAAAGAAGTTTGTTTTGAAATCTTTGCAATTCATTAAAAATAAAAAATGAAAAAAAATACACATGTACATAAGTATTCAGAGCTTTTGCTCAATACTCTCCCATTCTTCTTTTGCAGTACCTCTCAAGCTTCATCAGGTTGGATGGGGAGCGCCGGTGCACAGCCATTTTCAGATCTCTCCAGAGATGTTCATTCGGGTTCAAGTCTGGGCTCTGGCTGGGCCACTCCAGGACATTCACAGAGTTGGCCCGTAGCCACTTCTTTGCTGTGTGGACTGTGTGCTTAGGGTTGTTGTCCTGTTGAAGGTTGAACTATCATCCCTGTCTAAGATCCAGAGCACTCTGGAACAAGTTTTAATCAAGGATGTCTCTGTACATTACTGCATTCATCTTTCCTTCAATCCTGACAAATTCCCAGTTCCTGTCGCTGAAAAACATCCCCACAGCATGATGCTGCCACCACCATGCTTCACTGTAGCAATGGTATTGGCCAGGTGGTGAGTGGTGCCTGGTTTCCTCCAGACATGCGCTTGACATTCAGGCCAATGAGTTCAATCTTTGTTTCATAAGACCAGAAAGTTTTGTTTCTCATGGTCTGAGAGTCCCTCAGGTGCGTTTTGGCAACTTCAGGTGTGCTGCCATTTGTGTTTTACTGAGGAGTGGCTTCCATCTGGCCACTCTACCATACAAGCCTGATTGGTGGATTGCTGCTGAGATGGTTGTTCTTCTGGAAGGTTCTCCACAGAGAAACGCTGGAGCTCTTTCAAAGTGACCATCGGGTGCTTGGTTACCTCCCTGGCTAAGGCTCTTCTCCCTTGATCGCACATTTTGGCCTGGCGGCCTGCTCTAGGAAGATTTCTGCTGGTTCCAAACTTCTTTCATTTACGGATTATGGAGGCCATTGTGCTCATTGGGACCTTCAATGCTGCAGAAACTTTTTTATTTTTAATAAATTGCAAAGATTTCAAAACGAACTTCTTTCATGTTGTCATTATGGGGTATTGTTTGTAGAATTTTGAGGAAAAAAATTTATTTACACCCTGTTCCAAATTATTATGCAAATTCTATTTAAGTGTCACAAAGATTAAATATTTTGTTTTTCAGTTTAACTCATGAATGGAATTGTGTCTCAGGGCTCTTTTGATCATTGAAAACAATCTCGGACACCTGTGATAATTAGATTGGCAGGTGAGCCCAATTTAAGGAAAAACTACTAAAGGAGGGTGTTCCACATTATTAAGCAGAGCACCAGTTTCAAGCAATATGGGGAAGATAAAGGATCTCTCTGCTGCCAAAAAGAGTGAAATAGTTCAATGCCTTGGAGGAGGTATGAAAACATTAGATATTTCACGAAAACTTAAGCGTAATCATTGTACTATTAAGAGATTTGTGGCTGATTCAGAGCACAGACGGGTTCGTGCAGATAAAGGCACATTGAGGAAGATTTTTGCCAGATCCATGCATCGGATCAAGAGAGCAGCTGCTAAAATACCATTACATAGCAGCAAACAGATATTTGAAGCTGCTGGTGCCTCTGGAGTCCCACGGACATCAAGGTGTAGAGTCCTCCAGAGTCTTGCAACTGTGCATAAACCTTCTATTCGGCCACCACTAACCAATGCTCACAAGCAGAAACAGCTGCATTGGGCAGAAAAATACATGAAGACTAATTTTCAAACAGTCCTGTTCACTGATGAGTGTCGTGCAACCCTGGATGGTCCAGATGGATGCAGTAGTGGATGGTTGGTGGACGGCCACCCTGTGCCAACAAGGCTGCGATGTCAGCAAGGCGGTGGTGGACTCATGCTTTGGGCCGGAATCATGGGAACAGAGCTGGTCGGCCCCTTTAGGGTCCCCAAAGGTGTAAAGATGACCTCTGCAAAGTATGTGGAGTTTCTGACTGACCACTTTCTTCCCTGGTACAGATTGAAGAACTTCTGCTTTCCGTAATAAAATAATTTTCATGCATGACAATGCACCATCTCATGCTGCAAAGAATACCTCTGCATCAATGGCTGCTATGGGGATAAAAGGAGAGAAAGTCATGGTGTGGCCTCCATCCTCCCCTGACCTCAATCCTATTGAGAACCTTTGGAGCATCCTCAAGCAAAAGATCTATGAGGGTGGGAGGCAGTTTACATCCAAACAGCAGCTCTGGGAGGCTATTCTGACATCTTGCAAACAAATTCAAGCAGAAACTGTCCAAAAACTCACAAGTTCAATGGATGCAAGACTTGTGAAGCTGCTATCAAATAAGGGGTCCTATGTTACAATGTAACATGACCTGGTAAAATGTTTAAAAAGTTAAAATGTTGTTAAAAGTTTGACTGAAATAGCTTTTGATTTCAGTAAATATGCTGCAAACACAACAAATGACAATTTTCAGTTCTTTACAATCTATAAAGTGTTTTGAAACTTACTGTGCATAATAATTTGGAACAGTGCATTGTAAGTTTTTGATGTTTAAAAAAAATACTGTTATCATTAGGAGGTTTGTTCAATAAAATATGAATTGTACTCTTAATAGTTGATAATATGAGAATTATGCTGACTGTTATTTACATCAATTATTTAGGTAAATGAGAAATATATAATTTGCATAATAATTTGGAACAGGGTGTAATCCATGTTGGAATAAGGCTGTAACATAACAAAATGTAGCAAAAGTTAAGTGATGTGAATACTTTCTGGATGCACTATAGGATTGTATAATTTTTTCCCCTTTTATTGGTGGAACTAGATGGACATGTGTCTTTTTTTCAACTAGATTAACTATGTAACATACGGGAGATGAAGTAACACTACGCAAACAGAGTTAACTCAGCAAGTCCAGAATGAGTAATGCCATTGATAAGAGTAAACAAATGCAAGTTCAAGACACAAAGCAACCAGTCATTAGGTGTGGTACCTGAAAAGGTGGCAGAGCTGCTTTGACTCCCTGCCGAACAGACTGTTTCCCACAGCAACCAGGAGCAGGCCAGCGTTACGGAAATCCATGACCTGGTCTCAAGGTATGGGAAGTGAAGGAGTTAATGTTGAGCATGTGTGGGGTCCGCTCTACATGCTCTGCGGGACTCCAT